GCCAAGAAACACCAAAACCACCGCGAATCACCAGAAGCTAGGAGAGAAGTATGGAAGATTCTCTCTCAGGACTCACCACCGCTGACACTCTGATCTCGGACTCCCAGCCTTCAGAACTGTAAGCAATGGTTTCTGTTCTTATAAGCCTCCCAGTTTGTGGTACTTCGTTACAGCTGCCCTAGGAAACTACTAGTGTACTCCAATAAAGTTGAAAAATAAATATTCTACTCATCAACAGGGAGCTTCGGTGGCGTAGTAACTAAGGCACTTGACTGCTAACCAGAAGGCTGGCGGTTCAAACCCACCAGCCACTCCTCAGAAGGAAGGTTGGGCAATCTACTTCTGTAGTGATACCGCCTCAGAAACCCGAGGAGGGGTCGCTATGAATCAGAGTCGACTCGATGGCAATGAGTTTGATTTTGTTTCGTTTCACTCATTAACAGGTTAAGCAGGAAATTTATCAAGTTATAATCCTAGAAACAGTCCTACCAGTATTTCCAGAAATAAGATCCTAAGACCACTGCCAAGTTTTCCAGTGCCTTTGGATTCTCAAGGGAAAGGTAGAAACTGGGGCAGAGATCAGTTGTAGGAAATGAGACAGTGGAGTTTAAAAAAAAAATCTGTTAAGATAAGAGTTCTGGATAGGAAAGACACAGACTAAGAAATCAGACCCACTTTCTGATGTTCATGGACATCAGATCTAGAGAGTTGATGAATGGCTTTAGAGAGCTCTGTGAAAACCCAGCTGGATATGAATGTTTGTAGAAGTGTGCATCTGGGGGCAAGGGAGAAGGAACTTTTGTGGTAAGGAATATGGATATAAAGCCCAGACTTCCTAAATTTAAGAATCCCTTTACAATCATTCATTCACTAATGGTCACTGAGATTTCATTACATGCTGGGCATTGTGCCAGGTGCTAGCATTATTGAGTGAGATATTGGCTGTTCTTGCCATCATAAAGGATGCAGTCTAATACAGGAGATAAGCATTAAAAAGTACATATATATACATATTTTAAAATTACCATTGTAATGTTGCAAGAGTTGTTGTTAGGTGCTGTCTTGTCAATTTTGACTCTTGGCAACCCCATGTCATAGAGTAGAACTGACTTCCATAGAGTTCTCCTGGCTGTAATCTTTGTGGAAGCAGATTGCCAGATCACAATATAGTGCAGGAGAATCTAGCCTAGTCAGAAAAGGTGGCCCTGAAGGTCAATTAAGGGATACTTTAAGGGTGAAAAGGAGCTCTGGTGGTGCAGGGGTTACAGCATTTGACTACTAACCAAAAGGTCAGCAGTTCAACCAAACCCACTCGCTGCTCTGTAGAAGATGAGGTGGTTAGCTTCCATATTTAGCCTCAGAAATCCCATAGGGGCAGTTCTACTCTGTCCTAAAGAGTTGCTATGAGTTGGCCACAGCCTGATGGCAGTGGGTTTGGTTTGCTTTAATGGTAAATGGGACACTGTGAAAGAAATAGGAGGGGAAGAGGTTTCTGGGCAGCAATTGTAAAAGAACCAGTTGGAGGTAAATAGCCTGGCATGTTCAAGAGACTGAGGGGACAGCAATGCTGGAGTTTAATAAGTGAGAAAACAAGTGGCATGAGGCGAGAAAGGCAAGAAAGCCTTATTGGCCACGTTAAAGATTCGGCCAGCTGCAGGAGGGTTGTAAGCAGACGCTGAGGCTGGCTGGCCTTATGCCAATGTAAGAACGGAAGTCCTGTGTTCCCTGACCCAGATGATTTCAGCCATGTGCTACCATGTTTTGATAACAGAAAGATCTGACCTCGTCTATTAATCAGGGTTTGATTAAGGGTTTCTGAACTAATGGACATGTTGGACAAACGTTCTGTCACAAACTCAGAATGGTGCATGGTTCCAGAATTGTTACAAACACTGGGCTCCAGCAGTGTTAGGAAAACCGTACTATGATATGGGGTGGAGACGCAGTATCTCTTTATTCTGAACACTTATTAACACACTCTTGGTAAACATGTAGCCAGGGAACAGCTTTGATGAAACTGGGCTTGTTTTAGACTTTGTTCCTTAAAACGATTGATATATGCCAACCAGGTCAAGTTAAAATCATTTACCTGTGTTAATTCACTTAATCTCAGCAATGAATCATTTTGGTGTTTTCCAACAACCCTGTGACATAGGGAAGGCAGATTGATGGTTCATTCCCTTTTTGCAACCAAGGAAGCCTTGTCTCAGGGAGCTTCTGTGCCAGTGGCTCTGTGGTTGTGAACTGGGCTTTGAGGCCGGAGCTGGGTTTAGAACCAAGCTCACCCTTTTCCCAGCTAGGCGCCTTTGGGCAAGTTGACCTCACCTCTGATTGAGTAGGTGAGAAACAGCATCTCCTTGTTTCTAAGGTTATTAATACGGCTTTCCATATTCTTGTTTTTTCCACATACATTTCATCTTTTTTCTGCATAATTTATGACTCCATATTTATTTTAGGAAAACTAATAAATTATAATTTCTCATTATTTATTTAGATTACGGGAACTAAAAAAGCACTGTGATTAGCAAGACAGAAAGTCTCATTGGAAAGTAGGCATAGGAGCTCTGGTAGCGTAGTGCCTAAGGCACTTGATTGCTAACCAGAAGAGTGGTGGTTCAAACCCACCAGCCACTCCTCAGAAGGAAGATTGGGCAATCTACTTCCGTAGTGATACCGCCCCAAAAACCAAAGGAGGGGACGCTATGAGTCAGGTCTGACTCGACAGCAGGTAACAACAAAAGAAAATCAGTAACTGATTTTAAATACACATAAATGTCAAACTGGCAAAATGTTTAAAGTTTAAGACACCAAACTGGTAACAGTCTGGAGAAACAGGTACTTACCTACATCCGGATAGGAGTAAGATCAGTGTCCTCTTTCTGGGGCACTGCTAGTATCAGAACTGAAAATGTACAGAGACCCCTTTGATGGAATTCTCTCGATATAAGGCATTTAGCCCACAAAACTACTTTAAAAAGATCTTATATATATAGAAAGATGTTCACTGAATCACTGTTTATAAACAGCAAATAACCAGAAATGATTACAAGTTGGAGGGGGACAGGTTAAATATACACTATAGAACATCCAAAGAATCAAATGTTATTTGTTCAAAACAATGAAGTGATGTACATGGTGATTGTTAACTGAAGCGGTATCACATGAAGGTATATCAGCTGAAAAAAACAAAGTGCTGAACTAGTATGTTTAACACGATTATAATCCTTTAACGATAAATATTTAGGATGTGCTAGTAAATATATTTAAATTTTCTTCTGGAAGAGAATAGGAGTCCTAGTGGTGCTGTGGTTAAAGTGCTTGGCTGGTAGCATGAAGGTCAGCAGTTTAAACCCACACATCACCCCATGAGAGAAAGACTGACAGCACTGGGAACCCTGTAGGACAAGTTCTAGTCCATCCCACAGGGTCACTAGGAGTCCAATCGACTTGGCAGCAGTTTGAGTTTTTTGCAAGCAAACACAAGAAGTGGTGTTCCCTGCTGCTGAGCAGGAGACTGGCGGGTGGAAGGCCGTTCCTCCTCTCCTGTTGGCACTAACATGTGCGTGTTGCACTTTTTACATTCATTTTTAAGATCAGCAAGACAGTTGCTGTTTTTTTTCTTTATAGCTTTTGTTTTACATTTTACTATTTAGAAGCTGAATTTTAAAATCCTTGAGTTTAAAAAAAGCACGATCCATCTCATCCACTTCCAGAGATGGCATGAGGCACTGTTTCATAGAACCGTTTTTCCAAAGAGGAGAAAGTACTGGAGTTAAAGGCAGAGGAAGGGGCCGGCCGGCCTAGCTTAGCATACGTCGGGCCCAATTCAGGATCCCCTCCTTCCTCCTAGACACCAGATCACATTGGTAACTGGGTGCACTCAAACAGGGTTCTTCTCCCTTCCTTCCCTTTGATGTTAGTGCTGATTCTAAACGCACAACACAGCAGGACAGTGTGAGGCAGAGGCTCTTGGCTACTGTTACCGAGTCTGCACACAAGCTCACCAACAAGACAGGTTTTCAACTTCTTTAAAACGTCCTTCTCAGGCGGAGAAGACCACTTATAAAGCAAAGGTGACTGTCATGTGAAAAGACTTGGCCTAAAGCTTGTATGATTTTTTAAAAACCTCAAGTGTAAATGGCTACTTCTACTGTAGCTTAATGGTACAAGCCATCAGGATAGTCCCTGGGTCAACCCCAAGTATTACTGCTGGTCAGGGAGAGGGGTGCATTCACCTTAGAGGTTGTCTCTTAATGTCCCATATTTACAAAACCCTAAATCCAAAAGGAAGGAAGGTTGGGCAATCTACTTCCGTAGTGATACCGCCTCGGAAACCCAAGGAGGGGTCGCTATGAGTCGGATCCGACTCAACGGCAGTGAGTTTGGTTTTTGGTTTGGAATTCCAAAAAGCAAAAACATCTGGACAGTCCTGGTGAGTCCACTCATTGTTTTTATTTTTATTCAACTATAAGCAAACAGCAAAATTAACACAACATTCAGCAACTCCAGATGAGCTTTACTTATGCCAACGAGTAATTAATTTAACAGGCAGACTTGAGGACTCCTGATACCCTCTCACTGCACTGCTGCTTGTCCAGACGGCCAGACCTTGACACTAGAGAAGTGGGCCTCCCTTAAAGATTCACTGATGCTTTGCTCTACTGCTACAGTCTTGGGTCTTTTCACTTGGATTCTTCTCCTCTCTAAATTTTCTGGGTTGCTATTTTTATAGTAACTATTTCATGGCCCCATCACAGCACCAAAACGTCCCCCAAAATGGAGTTCTAATCAGATCAAACTATAAACTGGGAAGTGTGATCTTCTGGAATTACAAAGGACAGGCAGCAGGAAAAGTCACCCTAAACCACTGACTTCTCAAGTCTCACCTGTAAAAATGGAAGGCAGGAAGAGGACAAATCTACATGCATCACTGAATTCAAGAACACTGCCCACAAATTCAAGAATGGGGCCCATGAGCTGGTTTCCGTTTCTCAGCTTCTCCCTACTTCCCTGACAGCTGTTCATAGAGTTTGGGCACATAGTCGTCCCACTCAGCCTGGTAACAGGTGCCTGCAATTGGGGACCTGAGCTCGTACTTTTTGCGGAAAGATGCCACCTTGAATTTGCCACGATGGTCTCCAGATCGGTTGCTTAGAATGGGCTCATCACACTTCAGTGGCCTGTCCTGCTCGTAAACCAGCCAGACATAGCGGTGGAGCCCTGAGGGAGAGACAGGAGAAAAGATATAACTAAGTAAGCATGTGCATAAGTACGCCTGGACGGCAACTGTCATCCATCTTCAGAGACTGGTGCACCTTGCAGGGACCCAGACCACTCCATAGAGAAGGAAGACAGACACTCAGGACCAGGGAGGTAGAATAAGTCAGGTCACGCTCCTGCCTGAAATCACCCAGCGGCTCCCCACTGCTCCTAGCATCAGTCCTAAGTCTTCCTGAAGGCCTCTAAGGACCAAATCTTGGGCCTCACCTCCTACCTCTCCCTTCTCCTCATTCATCAGCCTCCTGGCTTCTCAACTAGGACCCGACTGACAGGCCTTTCCCATTACACAGCAGCATCATCATCCATCTTTGCACCTCCAAAACTTACTTCCTTTGAAGACCAGAGACCCGCTCTAAAATGACCCTAACCAACTAAGTTGCAAAGAATGTTTTAAAATCAGCCAGCAAGCTCTAATTAAGGACCAGACACCAATGGTACCATGAGCTTCTTTAAAGAAAAAAAATGTTCTTTTAAAAATGTGAGTTACTCATAAAAGATACAGGAATGGTCAAAAGGCACACCATAAAAGATGTTCAACATCATTAGCAAGGTCAAGCCCAATAAAACCACAAAATCAAAAAGACTGGCAACACCTAAGGCTTGCAGAGAAATGGACCTACTGGAACTTTCATAATACCGTTGATTAGAGCATAAAAATTTCAACCATTTCGGAGAACTCCTGGGCAACATCTTATAAAATTAGCCATATAACTGTCCATGACCCATGAATTCTACTCCTAGCTGTTTACAGAAAAATGAAAACACATGCCAACAAAAATGACAGGAATGTACACAGCATATTGAGCCATAACATCCAAACACTGGAGACAATGCAAATATGCAAACGCCCATCAAGAGGAGAACGGCTAAGCACAATGTGTTCTATTCACACAAAGAACTACTACCGAGCAAAAATGAGGAATGAGCTACAGACACCAAAGCAACCCAAACGCACGGCCATCGAGTCAATTCTGACTCACAGTGACCCCAATGGGTTTCCAAGGTGGTGAATCTTTAAAGAAGTAGATCGGCTCATCTTCCTCCCATGGAGCACCTGGTGGGTTTGAGCCTCAGACTTTAGGGTGAGCAGCCAATGCCTTAGCCACTATGCCATATGAGCTCCTTGTAGATACCCATAGTAACAGATAAATCTCAAGACACTATCCTGAATGAAAGAAGCCACTTACCTTAAAAAATGCATACTGTATGATACAACCTGTATGAACACAAGAAAAGCAAAAAGGACCCATGGAGGGATGTAAAAGCTTGCAAGCAGCCCTCTAAGATGCAACATTGGTCTGTCCTCATCAGGAGCAAAGATAAGTGAAGAAAACCAAAGACACATGGAAACAATCAGTCTAAAGGCCTATACCACAGGAACTTCAGCCAACATGGCCCTGAGACCAGAAGAACTAGATGGTACCCAGCTACCACTGTCAGTCATTCAGAAAGGGATCAAAATTAGAGATCCTGAAAGGAGTGAGAGAAAAATGTGAAACAAAATTCAAAATCATGAAAAAGACAAGGCCTGGAACAGAACTCATTCCCATGGCTTAACTTCCAGCAAGGCCTACCAGGTGAACAATTACACCAGGGAGGTGTACACCTTAGAGCAATCAACCATGGGAGATCAGAAGGACAGCATTTGCACAGGGAGAGAGTTCAGAGGGCAGGATCCATAGGAAAGGACACAGGGAGGAAGTGAGAAGTGAGCTGTTACATTGTGGGGATTGCAATTAACGTCATAAAACAAAATGTGTATGAACTGTTGAATGGAAAATGAATTTGCTCTGTAAAGTTCCACCCAAATCATAATTAAAAAATACATATTTTTTTAATTTTAAAAAAGTGAGCCATGGAGGTGAGGAGTCAGAACACAGTTTCCGCTAAAGTAACCAAACTCACTGCTGTCGGGTCAATTCCAACTCACAGTGACCCCTCCTTGGGTTCTGAGGTGGTATCTCTACAGAAGTAGATTGCCCAACCTTCCTCCCAAGGAGCGGCTGGTGGGTTTGAACCGCCAGCCTTCTGGTTAGCAGTCAAATGCCTTTGGCACTATGCCACCAGAGCTCCTCAGTTACCCCTAGGACAGTATAACTGAAGTCATACTCTAGGGAGAGAAAAATGTTCTGTATTTTGTTTTTGATGGTGGTTACATGGGTGTATGCACTAGTCAAAATTTATTAACGGAGCCCTTATGATGTGTACATTTTAGTCTATATAAATTATACCTTATTAAAGGAAAATGGAGCATAGTGGCTAAGGCACTTGACTGCTAACCAGAAGGCTGGTGGTTCAA